GGAGGCTGCCCGGAGGCACCAAACCCAACCTCACACACAAAACATGCCTGGAATATACTGTATTTCAGGCCCTTGACACAAGTGCTGTAGGAGGTGCTGACAGTAGTTCAAGGAGTATTTTTTCCTTACACTTACTCCAATCCCATGCACAACATTTGAGAAGTTCCCAACGTGCCTTTGTTACAGTTCAGCATTTGGACTGTGAGCACTACATCGCTACACCAGCAAAGAATTTAGCTTTTTCTCACCCATAATAAAAAAATCACCCAATAAACTCTTTGCTAACTGATTTTCAGAGGGTTTTTTTAAATATAGATATATACAAAGTAGTCTCGTTAGACTGCCTGACCATGTCACAACATGTGATCCATTACAGCTACAAGATAATTAAAGCTTACTTTTTGCAAGATATCACACTGAATGCTTTTTAAGGACTGTTGAATACTTAAAAATATTTGTGATTACACTTTCTAGCCCTGTTCCTCAACAACTAAAAAGGCAGGGCTTATTTTTGCAGAGAAGATGTATCTTCAATCTAAATAGAAATAATTGCAGTCTTAGGGAACTTCAAAACGAAACACTTGGACTTCTAACTCACTGGCTTATCTTGGAAACACATCTATCTGCCTGGTCGCCTTCACATGCTATAAAACAGGGACTGGCACCACAGTCAAATGCTTTCTTTGCAATTGGAAAAGCACTTCCAAGGGTGAAGCTCCAGAAGCATTTCTCCCAGTGGAACCACCGAGGCCTTTGCCACAGCAGCTGCTCATGGGACCATGAAAGAACATGAGTTGAGGAACTATTCAGGTAAAGAATGAACTTTTTTGCTGAACTGATCCAAGGTACGAGTTGTACAGAAAAAAAAAAAAAGAAGTATTCTTAACTGGAATCTATTTCCCAGTCTGGTTCCCTGAACAGACCCACAAATTCCATCATAGCCCAGCTGGGGAACTGGAAGAGGCTGCTTACACCTACACTGATGATAAAATTACAGTTAAACTTTAGGATGACACTGAAAAAGTTTTACCTATTGCATGCTTGCACCAGCGTTCTCTGGGAGGGCATTAAACTGTTTACAGGATTTGTGGCGTCGCAGCGTATTTGTCATGTAGACAACAACAGAGGAGTCACCCTGTTTCTGTGACAAAGGGCCATAAATATACAGAGATATATCTTTTTGAAAAAGATCTGTATAGCTTGACTGCAGCAACAAGTTCCTGGCATATCGGCTTTCTCTGGAGCGCTGCCATCATATTTTCTTATCACTAAACAAAGCAACTAACCAGCTAACTCTCAGTGACAGGCTTTGCCTTCTAGATCTGCATAAAGGTCATTTGCAAGGGGGAAAGGCAGGTTTAAGATAAATAAATAAATAAAAAAGATTACATTATGCCACATCCACAGCTTTGTTTCCAAAAGCAACTAAGAAGTGCAATGCCAGGCTGCAACACTACAACTGAAGTGTCTGACTATTCACTAAGCACAAGGAGTGGCCAATTCCCTCCCCACAAAGAGACTGTTTACAGCTGCTTTAAAGGGGAGGGGGAAAAAAAAAAAAAAAAAAAAGTGAAGCATGACTAAGCTATTCATAAAAATCTCATTTCACCTAACACCCTAACAATAAGTTTTGATTTAGAAAAAGTGCAGTGCTTCCTGGAAGTGACTGTTTGGGTGGCACATGCCAGCCCTGAACCAAGCCTCCCAACTGGATTATATCCCCCCATAGCAAACCTCACAGCAGCAAACCAGAACTGTATCTACACCCAAAGCTATCAGTTGCTTCAGAAAGTCACTCATTACCTTTACCTATCCTACAGGTGATCAATGCAAGCAAGCACACACACGAGCACTTGGCACCAAGTAGCACCCAGAAATCACAGGCTGCAGGCTGCAAGGTGCTTCCCACCCCAGCCTTCCACGTGCCTGCAAGTAGGATGCTGCTTACCTTAACTCCAGCTGGAAACCACAGAAACTGCCAACTCCCTGTCCAGGGGGCTGGTAAAACACAGGGCCACAATCACTCAGGGAGGGCGTATCACGCCTTTATGGCCTCCTGGACTTTCTAGCCTTTTGCTCAAGTTTTTAACTTCTTAACATCACCTTCTGCCAGTAGAGCAAAACCAAAACCAAATAGTTCCTCCATACTAATCAGCTATGTGGTTTAGTTTAGTTCAGGCTATTTACTGCCTGTGTGGGGAACCCCTATAGAAATAACATTTAATAACGCTCAAGTAGATTGCAGAGATAACCAGCTAAGTAGAAAAGCTTCCAAGCTGCTTCAAGGGCTGTTTTATAGGCAAGTGGATCACCACCAAATACCAGGCAGAGGAAACTGATACATTGGTGTCCTGGAAACAGAATGGAAAAGAATGGGTACAGCAGGCATGACAACTTCTGCTAATGATTTTTTTGTTAAGTAGCTCTCTATCGAAACTTACTACGCTGGCCGAAAACTACATGAAAGCACCCACTGCCTTTGCAACACAGAAGCATGTGTATATCACCAATAAACCTACCAGTGTTTTTTTTTCCTCTAGTATAATTTATCGACCACTGCCTTAATTCATGCTTTGGATAGAATAACTAGATTCCTTAATAGTATTTAATCCTCCTCTTAGCACAGGAGCGTACCCTAGACCAGAACACAGCTTACAGAGGACTCTACCCTGCTGAGAGATTAGTGGCAAGTTCTGCATAAACCGGAGCCTCAAAGCTTCCCTATATAGACTGTGTTTAAAAACATCCATCATCAGACAGAACCTGGTAGAGCTCTGTTTCTACGAGAAGCTTCAACTTCTTAACTACGTTTTTTTTTCCTTTGATGCTGCAAAGCTGTAAATCAGGAACATAGAGCTCCTGCCTTTCTCTCTGGCTGCAGTTCCTGGCTGGACTGTTACTTCGAGGATGCTGTGTCCTCACCTCTGGGGCTCTGCTGGCCATCCCTCAGCCGCCCGGAGCCAGGCAGCAGACACGGGCTGCAACTCCGTCACGCAACGCGGCACATCCACGTTACCTGCAGGAAACTCGTCATTCAGGCTACCTACAAAACCTGTCTGCCTTGCAGAACTCAGCATCAGTGCCCTTCTAGCAACAGCCCCAGGCTAGCCTGTCTGCCCAGCACCGGGCAGCGCTGGAAGGACAGACAGGAGATGTATTAGGCTCAACCCATGAACGCGGAAGACAGGTACATGCCAAGGGACAACACATGCCCAGATGATACCCACCTTGCCTAACGCACCCTTACCCTGCTATCAGGCTCGTAATAAAAAAATAAAAAAAAGCAAACACCAAGTGTCCAAGCAAGATATTGTCACCATAGAAGGTGACAGCCTCAATCAGAGTGGCCCAAAGGACAGCAAACACCTTCTGAGCAAATGCTCCTCCACTTCAGACAGGAGCTTCTACCCACAGACACTGATGTTACGAGGTTGACACAAACCTACTCCCACTACTAAGGTATCTATGTATAAAAATACACCTCCACTAACCAAGTAATAAATGAATCACTAGTAGCTCACCTTTAAGGAACTATGTGGAACTTGGTTAATGTTTGCAATTCCACAGTGGCTCAGCAAGGCTGTGCAAAACATGAAAAACACACCCAGCAAGGGACTGATTTTAAGCTGAAGAGTCTCACCACAAATAATGTAGCTTGGCCCTTTAAAACTGATTAGATTACATTAGCCAAAACTGCCAGCACACAAGACATTCATGGATCTCAGACCAACTGTCTAAACTCAGCTCTGAAGCTACATGCTTTACATATTTCTACCGCATCGCGTATCTCCATGAGTACCTAAAGTTTTATGGCTGACAAAGATTACAGAGAACACCACAGCGACCAACTGTCCTACAGAAATACAGCATTTCTAAACCCTTTATAGAGTCCCTATCTGGTCATCCATGACAGAATCAATACAGCACACTCTTCAAAAAAAAACTCTGAAAAATCACTTTTTTCCACTTCTGAGCTCCAGCTAGTGTGAAGCCCCATAAAGGACACTGGAGCAGAACCAATTACAGAGGTCAGCAAAATTGATCTCTACTAATCCCAACTCCTTTATATGACTTGCAGGGCTAACACAGTCACAGATGATGGATTAATAAACCCAGACAATTTACAGGTTAAGAAACAACTACCCTTCCACAATCCTTGTCCAGAAACTCCCGCATTTGCATCGAGTGTCTCCACTCGAGAAGAAAATAAATAAATTATATTTTCAAGCAAAAGTGTGAATGCATAAAACAGGCCCCATGGCAATGACCCTCTGAGTAACTTCAAAGGCCCACACAGCCCCAAAGGTGAGAAAAAACAACAGCGGCCTGTTGCTTAGGAGATTCTGATATAAAGCCCAGATTACTTTCTTTGCAATAAACTGAGATGCAAAGTTGCATCAGCGAGACCCGGAGGGGTTTGGGTTGGTTTTGTTGTTTTGTTTTGTTTGTTTCAGATCAGGATATCAATAATACCAATAGCGAGGAAGTGGAGGGAGGCTGGGGGCCAGGCTGGGTGTGGGGGTGCACGGGGGGTGGTTTGAGGGTGGCCGGGCACAGACTTGGGGCACGGTCCGTCCCCCCCCCCCCCCCCCCCGGCAGCGGGGGAACCGCGCCCGGCCCCGGCCCGCCGCGCACCGCCGGCCCGCAGACAATAGCGGCGGGGTGCAGCCGCGCGAGAAAATACATCCAGTAACTTACACCAAGCAACAATAATAATAACAAAATGAAAAGGGGTAAAGACACGCGAAGGAGAGGGACCGGCCGGAGCGGCTCCACGCGAAGTTGCGCGGAGGGGGAAAAAAAAAAAAAAAAAAAAAAAACAAAAAAAAAACGAGGAAGAAGAGAAGGAAGGGCGGGGGAAGCGTGAGAGGACGCGGGAAGGGGAGGGGGGGGGGTCCCGCACACCCCCACCCTGAGGAGAAACCCCCTCCCCAGCCAGAGGCCTCCCCAAACTTTCCCCCTCCCCACCCCTTCGCCCAACTCCGGCGGGGCAGACTCACCGCGGGGGCCCGGCGGGCGGCTTCGCCCCTGGCAGCGGGGCCGGGAGGGAAGGGAAGGGAGAGGGAAGGGGATGGGGAGGGGGGGAAAGAGGCGGCCGGGCCGGGCGCTCTCCGCCCGGGGAGGCGGGCAGGAAGGAGGGCCGGGGTTAGGGGGGGTGTTGGGGGGGTGGGGGGGGGTGGGGGTGTGCTGTGGGTTTGCAACCTGAGCAGCGCCGGGGCCGCCGCCGATGCCCGCCCCCGCCCCGCCAGCCCGCATGCGCGGCCGCGGAGCCGCGCGGAGCGGGGCCGCCCCCGGGGAGCGGGTGGGGAAGTTAAAGGGGGGGGGGGGGGGGATGTTGTTGCATGGCGGAGGGTGGCACCGCCGAAAAGTTGTTCGGGGATGAGTTTCGGCTGCGGGTCTCCCGGGGAGGGCCGCCCGGTGCGGGTCTCACCTGCCCGCCCGTCCCCTCCCGCTTCCCCCCACGCCCCCTCTGCCCCGTCCCCGGTTACTCAGCTGCCGTGGGAGCTCCATCAACGTGTTTATAACGCTGTGCCGCCGCTGTGAAAGGACGCAGGCAACTTTTTAAAGCCGCGGGTTTGTTTGAGGGGGAAACTTCCTTCCCACGCATCAAACTTCAGCTTCAAGGGTCTGTTTTGCTCGGGGTTGCGTTTCCAGCATTCCCACCTCCAGCAGTTCCAAAGCCTCTTCTGGTGCCGAGAGCACAAGCTGCCCAGCCATCAGTGTGACCTGCTGCACATCTGTACCTATCACAAAATCTGGCAGCTCAACTTGAGCCCCACCAAGCTGGCCCACAGCTTTGCCCAGCTCCTCACCGTCTTTCCCCAGTTTCTCTACAGTTTTGTGAGGTGTGTGTGTTTGATTGAGAAACATCTCCCATACCATTCCCACCCCTTGCCCTCAAAAAATGGTGGAGATGGTCAACCCACCATTAGCAAATGAGTTCATGTGGCCTGTGGTCCGCGTGTGGCTGGGCTCGAGGAGGCCCTTGGGAATGTAGATGCATGATGTGGTGGTGACTTGCCTTCAGTTACCATTTTTGTTGGAAGCTCTTTGAAAAGGCGTACATGTGGTGGCCCAGCGTTTCCATTCAGTTTAACCTACTGCACACGTGTATATCCTGCTAGCCCTGGCAGTGGCCAGGTGATCATGTCCACAAAGACAGTGACAACACCGAGTTTAACATGTGTGTCCTGCCCCAATAAAGCTGGGCAGCCTCACCTCAAGACAACCAACCCCCAAAACACCTTACAATACTTTCCAGAGTCCTTGCTGCTGTTCACAGCACTGGGAAAAGGCTGAAAGTTATTCCTTTACACCATGTTCTCTCTAGGTAGAACAGAAATAACAATACTGTGTACAGTGCAGAAGATTTTCTGCTGAAAACCCTGTGTGTGAACTTGGCATTGTCTTCCAAAATATGCACGGTTTAAATCAACTGAAGTAATAAAAACGCTTTCAACATTTGTGTAATGTGGTCATTTGGAAGCTGGAACATCATATGCCCCTTTCAACCAGGATGTAAAGCAATAGTTTTTCTTATGTGGCTCCAACAGGGTAAGGCACATGAGAGCAGGGACACTGGAAATACATTTTCAGCTGCCTTCCTCCCATCCCTGTAAGAAGAGTTTATGAGGCAGATCGCTTGGAAGTTCCCAGATTCACCAAGAGGGGCAAGGCACAGTGATGGCTCAGGAAAGAGCACCATCTAGTGAAAAGCCACTTCTTGCAGAAACTCTGTCCTCTACAAGTCTCCAACCAAACAATGACTAACCAGCCCAGCCCAACCTACCTCATCGCATCTGAGGCAATCATGACCGAGGTAGCATGGTAACAGATAACAGATGCCTAAAATTTTCCATAACACGCACGCCGAGATCTTTAGCTCTACCCTCTTGGTTGTCCATCAAGGGAACATTTCTTCTCTGCTTGTCAACTCCAGCCTTCAGAGTCAACCTCTGCCTTGCCTTCTGCTGTCTCCTCTGGAGCTGACACAGCCCTGGTCTTGCTGTAGGGACCCCCCAGTCACATTGTGGGGATCAGAAGCCCCAAAGAGATGGCTCAAGCTTCCATCTGAGTCTGTACTGTCTGCATAGATGCCCATGCATATGGGCTCACATGTACTGCTCTTGCAAATAGTTTGGAAATGCTTGGGGGGAGGCTTTTCAGCATGACGGTGCAAAAGTAATCTGCCAGCAAGGCTGACCAGGATCATTTAATGTAGACAAAATGTTCTAAACCTGAAGGCAAGGAAATTAGCATGGAAAATACTGAGGAAAGATGATGCAGCAGCTTAGCACCAAAGCAGGAGGATCAGCTGATGGGCCCCATTCATCAAAGGTGTTATGGCCCTTTCAGTAAGGCAGAAAAGGTGTAATTTTTCCTACGAGAAATATTTCCCATCAGAGTGGGCTTTTCCAGCTGCTCACATATCCCCAGAGTGTCAGGCTCTGGTTGTGACTTAGGAAGGGAATTCACCAGGGTAGGCAGGGCTGTGGGATGGGTAGACAGCTCCCCAGACTACCAGGAGGTCGGACAGAGGCTCAGTTTAGATCTGAGCCCAGGTCCCCTTTGCCTGTGGGAGGGCTCATCATGCCCCGGGACCAGAGACCAGCAAGTATCTGCCACAAAAAGACTGTACCAGCCACTTCAGATGCCCAGCCCCTGCTCTCAGCAGCACGTTATGCATCTTTTTACCTCTCCCTTCCCCAAGATGTAGTCTGTGCTCTACTTTTGTCTTTAAATTGTTATCCACCCCCAAATTCTTTATCTCAAAATATCCTGTCTGCACCCACATATAACCACAAACCAAAACAGAGAGGCAGGAGATGAAGGGAAATTTGTGCAGCAGCTTTGTGGTTGCCAGCCTCCTGACAAATCATTTGCCTTCAAATTATCTCTGACACTGGTTCCCCTGGGTTTCACCATTTGCCATACGTCCAGGTCTGTTTTTCAAACGCTGTAAGAAAATAATAAAATATATCAGATGTTCTTTCATTGCCTCTTTCAGGTTTTAATTTGTCACAAGCTTTGCTGCAGGGCTCCCTACTTCTTGCTAGGGAACTGGATTTAAGTGCGAGCTGCACTCGTGAATGAGACTGGAATTTGGATCTGCACAACATAATCTGAACATTTGTGTGTAGTGGCATGAATTAGCAATATGAGCGCATTGTTCCCATTTGCTGGAAATTAGCTGTCCTTGCAACTGAATAGAAAACAGAGTGCAATGTAATGATGGAAGCAGCAACTATTAAAGATTTGTTTTCATCATGTTTAAGCAGCTACAAAACTGAGACGCTGAGCATTAATGTGGCTGACAGCAGCACGTGGTATTTTCTTTGTGTTCCTGCTTGTTTGAAGCTGGTGTCTGCTAGTTGAGAGAGCAGAAGCTACACCTGAAGAGATTTTAATATAACTTTCCTTCTTCAAACTTTTCCAGTGTCATCTCTAAAGTCCTGTGAGTGGTACAATCTTTGCTGCAAGATTATGGACTGTGGCTGAGAGCAGCCTTCAGCAGAAGTTTCCCCATTCCCATGAACAATATATCTCAGGTAACATGTAAAAGTTCTTAAAGTGTGTCACAATCATCAGACATTGGAGTTCTCTCTTAGGAAAGGAGTTCACCTGGGATGGGTGAACTGCAATAAAACCCACCCAAACCAAAACGCAATCATTTATGACCTACATTAAATTAATGAAATCAAAGAAAGTTCCCTGGGTTCTTCTGTCCCTCTGTGGGAAGATTGTGGGGCTTTGGTGGGAGGAGAATGGGTGCAGTCGTGCACCTAGCTGTCACCCACCAGGTACCTCAGCTGCTCATCACCACTCTTTCTGATTATTTCTCAATTCTGGGAGGCAGTGCTTATCAGTTGCTCATGCAGATGACATTTTAGTTAGTTGCTCAATTGATGGGGCCCATCTAACAGGTCCACCTTTGCAGCTCACGGGGCCCCTCCGTGTGCTGATAAGCTGTGCTAGCACCAAGCTCTCAAAGCTCCCTCTTACATATATTATTGCAAGCCCGGATATAAATACTGCCTTTTTCTTCTGGTCAAAAATTTCCAGTTACTCATGTTTAAAGGACCTGAAAACAGGTAAGGGAACATCTCTGCTGGCAGCCCCAGCAGAACCACACCCACGTGCATTTGTGACAGGCACAGATAATCTTATTTCACATCGTATTTGCTTTAAATATTCTCAAGACCAAAGAAATCATCTGGTGAGCTCCATGTTGTACCTGCACCTGCTGCCTCGCTAAGTCTGTGCCTGCAACTTCCAAGCACTGAACTCAGAAACAAGAAATAAAAGCAACTGGAGAATGAGAAGAGCCCCACAGTTGACTTTGCTGTCCTGCAGGGATAAGACATGTGCAGGTGTGTTGAAAAGAAGGTGACATTTCATCCCCTTTGCCCTCTTCCTGCCTGGGCTCAGAAATAATAATAACTAAAACAAGAAGAATTTGCACAGCCTCTTAGTGCCTCCACCAGCCCTTTTGGAGATGGAAGTGTTTGCTTGCCCCCACAGAGAGCCTCCAGCCCTACCCGTGGGTTCGTTCTCTGTCCAGCCCTTCGGGTGGGTGCTGGATAGAGCAGAAAGGGAAGGGCGAACAGAGACTTGCAGGCTGCAAACACTGTTACCATTAAGCCTCCTAGGAGGGTTTTCTCGTGCACTTTGGCTTTACACTTCGTGCTTTGTCAAATGACACTGTTAACAGGCGTCTGCTCTGGCCATCCTGTTCTTTTCAATAGACCTTTTAATTTAATACTATCCTATTTCTGTCTTCAGCAAGGGTTGTTGTCCAGTTACGTGCAAAGTAAGGGATAGGCCATTCTGTGCCAAAAGGCTTTATTGAAGTATCAGAAAACATCCATCAAATCAATTTACAAAACTGAATTATGTGGGACCCCAGGAGTAAAAAATGACAAACATAGAGAGTTAAATTGATAGCAGACCAGGATAAAAGCTTTTAGTCAATGCAGGATATAAAATTAATCAAATGCAGTATACTCCCTAAAAATTAGAGCAGTTTCCTCATCCCTGGCACTCTACTCAATTTCAGATCTAAATAACATACAAAGTAGATTAAAATTAATCAATGCGGCAGATCCCACAGTAAAGAAATTAATCAAGA